CCCCCGCGACCCGACCTCGGATAAGCGGATGAAGATGGATGGATGGACAATGTATACCATATACTTGCCTAGCCATCCATCACTATGCTACACCACTAATACAGACCTACACACACCTTTCTTAATTTATTTAATTACTTGTGATCTATGAGCGGGTTGCAACACATGAACTGCACATTGTGACAGAACATGTGACAGAAGAATCTATAGCTCCAAGTTGTTCTCTTAATGGTGAAATGCTGAGTTGAGCCAGTTAAGCATATTGCCACCAACTATGGATATGGGTCAAATCAAGGAACAGCATGTGGCCTTAGTTTTATTAAACATAAAACTAAATATTGCTACACTTTAATTAACTAACTGTGTTTTAGCTGTATGAGCCATCCTATAAAGCACTCAGTTTACAAGTTGGTCTAAATGCTGAACCTATGAACTCTCAGCTATGGAGATTAGGTACAAGTCTGATGTCTTCTGGCTGTAAAAGACCTGTCAGGGTTCTATAGCTCACCTATAAGACTTGAAACTGACTATACAGCATATCCTTACAAGTCTAGAAGTGCCTTGAAATTTCCCAGGAGAGCATGCAAGACCTTGCTTTGAAAAAGGACATACACTGATGCCACATACCTCTGGCCTAAAAAAAAGGTGCTACAATGAGAATGGGTGGACACAAAAAAAGACGAATTATAATTTCAGTGAGAGAAAGTCTGCTCTTTCTAATTTCAGATTTTTTTTTCCAACTTCTACCCAACCCTTCATTGCTCTTATGGTGACCTCAGCTACCTCTTATTTCACTGTCACCCCAGGGGTCTCAGTGTCTGCTATTACTTATTCTTTTCATCTCCCGCCTCCAGCCTTCCATCTCATTTCCTGTCATTAATGATCCTGCAATGTCCCTCTTGTCTTTTTCTCATGAAGTGAGAATGTGAACACAATGTGACATCATGGTCTCACTTTTAGTAGAGGAGCAGTTAAGTATTTGAAGCTAAAATGCAAATAGTCACCATTAATTCACATTTGATTGTATTTTACCTTGTAAACAGTTCCAAAAGCTCCGGAGCCGAGGATCTTGACTCTTTTGAGTTCTGTTTCTTTCAGGATGCGAAGCTGGGCTTGATTGGGTGCCGTTCCACTGGGTGTTAAAGGTTCCACCAACTAAGAATGCAATAAATAAGTCAGTGAGTGCTGGAAGACAAGTCTAGAATCTACATAACAAAAGATACTAACATCAATTCATGATACTTTAAATTAAAACATCACAACTTATCACAGGATTAGTCCAATTGCTTGTTGCTGAGCAATTAAATGCAATTTAGCTTCTCAGGATCTCAGGAACACACTTCCATATTAGAAAAAAACAAAACAAATAAAACCCCAAAATAAAACACACCTTTCTTCCATGCAAAATCCTTCTTTAGAGGATAGGACAGTTTCTAAAAGCTGTGACCCAAATTCCAGGAAGTCAGGTAGTGAAACAGGTTGTACAATAACAATGAAACTGAAATTATGCAACATTTACTCTTAAGGAAGGTTCCAGTGGGTAAGAAAAGTACACACACACGCTGGGTGGGTGGACAAGCAACATGAACACCCAAGTTTGTGACACTGATAACTCAAGAACGAAGCAATGTAGGACTTTCAAATTTATACTACAGGTGTTTCTACTAAAAATCTCAGATGAGTTTGAATCTCAGGGTTAGAGGTCAAATTTTCTGAAAAACTTGTGACATTGGAGTTTCAAATTGATACCATAGGTGTATCAAGACAGCTGGTTGTAGTTACGTTTATTGCCCCTGCACTTGTGGTTACAGTAGGGTTGTAATGGAATTTTTTTCCAGGAAGATAAATCTAGACTATAATGAACCATTATTATGACATTCTCTACGGTAAAAGGAAGTGAAAGCGATACTACATGGGAACAGAAGAGAGTGATGGAGAAAGGTGGATGAAAACAGAGAAAGACTGGGGGAGACAGATAATTGAGGCAGCTGAACGGGAGTTGAAATTTTTGTTGTCTCATTACTGCTCAAGTGGAGGAACAAACAGATGAAATAGTAGGAGAAGCAGAAAGATTATATCCGAGGAGGGAGGAAGGAAGATGTGGAGCGGGAAAGGAACTGTAGCAGAAACAACAACAAGACAGCGATGGAGAAGCGAGCTGCTGAATTAGTCAGAGGATGCAAAAGCATAAGTGAGGGAGCAATATAAGGAGAATTAAAGGAGAGGGCGGAAGATTAGAGAGGGAGAGAGGACAGAGAGAGCCTAACAGACAGAGTGTAAATCAGCCTGGCTGTGCTTGGCAGCTTCTGTCCCTCTGGCTTATGGTTACCATTTGATTAAAAACAATAGCCATTCTTCATTTAAATGGAATAACAAATCAGCTTCTGCAGGGTGGAAACAAGTAGGCTGGGGGGCCACAAACACACCCAGGACAATACAGACATCTTTAAAATGATCTAACCGTACACACACAAAGGCAAAGCTCTATGCTATTTCCACTGTGCTGGGAGCTGTCCAGCATTAGTGGTGCTGAAGATGTTGAGGCTGTGTAGCAGCCGAACAGCAGCAAATGTAGCTATCCACCTTCTCTCTCTACACTGCATTTCTGAAACTGAAGCAAGTGCTGCCTGAAATATACTGATCAAAATATTAACACCACATATCAGATCTTGATGAATGAAATATTTAAGTTAACATACACTATATGTGCAAAAATACTGAGTCACCTACACATTACATCTACTGGAGGACCAAGGTCCATGGAAACCATGCCATGGAGCTCTCGGTGCACGGTGTTTGTGTTGATGTTATTTGCCACTGTGCAATTATTGAATCATCAGAGCTATGGCAACCTTTACACACAACACACCTCAGCACTCAGCGACCCTTCTCTGTAACTTTATGTGGTCTTCAATTTTGTGGTTGAGTTGCTGCAGTTCCTAAATGCTTCCACGCTAAAATAATTCCACTAACAGGTGATTGTGGAATATCTAAGAGCAAAAAGAATTTTGTGAATTGTCTTATTGTAACAAAGGGATCCTGCCGCAATATTGCACTCAAATTCAGTAAGTAAAATAATGTAATTTGTTGAAAACAACGGTTAGTGGAATCTAAAGTGCAATTCAAAATCATACCAAAAATCTAAATTAAATTGCTCAAGTGTTGCTTCATTGTTTTAAGCAGTTTATATGTTGCTATTCTATTAAAGTGGTGAGCTGGGCAAAATGACATTAAAACCATTAGACAAACATTTCACGTGCAGACTGATCTGATTAGATTTATAGTCCATCAACATTTTCTTTTAACAAGTCTAAAATTATTTGTTATATAGTGATAGGATCAGGGCGGAACTGTCATGGTCTGCGAGGGCAGACAGTGTGGAGTGAGTTGAGGACCCAAGAGCAGACAGAGGCGAGGAGACGAAACTGAACTTAACAAAAAGCGAGCCTTTATTTAGGGCTGAAAACTCACGGAAAAAACAACAACAAAGTAACTGAGGGAAAACCTGAACATAGACTAGGAAACTATGACTCTTACTGAGAATTTAGACTATGACTAAACAATATACAAACTATGGCTGGGAAACTATGACAAGGGGTAGGGGAGATAACACAGACGACGCGACGACGAACAAAGGAAGACTGAGGACTTAAATAAACACATAAGGTGATCAGGGGAAGTGGAGACACATGAGAACACAGCTGACTAGAATGAAACATAATGACAATACAGAGGAGAGTAACACTAACTACAATGAACAAAGAACACCAGACTCTTCCAAAATAAAACAGGAAACATGGAGACATAGACATGAACTTAACATAACCGCATAGACAAGAAACATGACACGTAGACGCAGGAACCAGGGAGAATAAGTACAGGGGGAGATGACAGAAACAACTAAAAAATAAGGACTAACAAGCAACCTAGAAAGTAACTGGATTGAAAATGAATACAAAAATACCTAAAACTCAAACACGGGGTCACACAACCCAGTACCGTGACAGAAACTGATGCGCAGTGCCTGAAAACTAACTAGTTTCAGACTTTATTTTAAGCAAATGACTATTAATCAATGAACCTGCAATATAAGACTTTCCCTGCAATTACATAAAATGCATAATTTAATGTAAATACTAAAAATTAAGGAAAAATTATCTTTTTTTTCTTTTGCAGCCCAGAAACAAATGAAGACAGGATGGTTTCAAAGACAAAAAAAGATTTCCCATTTCCTTCTCTGCTCCTCTACTTTTGGAGCATCTAATACAATTATTGGGCCATAAATACAGTATTTTTTATTAAATAAATGACATGTAACAAGAAAGGCTCTGTAATATATTAAAATAGTGCCTGAATTTATGTATGACTACTAAAAAGAGACTAATGTAAGTACTCAAGAAATAGTGGCAGTTTAAGGGTGGCCCATATATGAACGGGTATAAAAGAAGTATAATAATTTATCATCTTAATGCTATTATTTTTTTCAAGACTCTTCACTGATACTTGTGCCCTGAATAGAGAGAAAGCACTGAAATGAGACCTTATTCTCAGTGTGGACACATAAGTACATTAGATGAAGTACTCTTCTGGGTTTTTTTAGATAAAGAAAGAGTACTTTTGCCTCTTCTAATGGTATACTCCCTTAGCTCTTCCTAAAAGAAGTGCCCCTATAATGCACTGTAGGATATTCAAACCCGAGTCGTCAGAGTTTCTAAAACTTTCTACAGTTCTGCAATAGTTATTTAGAATCCACCAGTCAGTCTCTATTTTATTTCTTTTTGCTTTTTTCAGTCTTGTTTTTCTCATATTTTGCACAAGCATAAGCCTGCAAGCACATACAGAGGAAAACGTCACATCCATATATATTTCCTATGTCTACGCATTTTGACATAACAAAGTAATGTCATGAACTGCATTGTAGTAACAACGGTGGCATTATGAAGGCTTTCTTTAAAACACAACAAAACACTTTTATTGCACAAAATGACACATTGTACATGTGTGTTCATTATGATGGAGACATTTGTTAGATAGGTTTATAGTCTTAAATGGTAATTATGTGACAATTTATCTTAGGCCATATTAAAAGTATTCCAAAAGTAATGTAACAAATTATTTTCTCTGGAGACTAATTAAGTAACATAGTGCATTACATTTTTTAAAATAATGAGCAATGTGTAATACGTTTCAAAAGCAAAACAAATATCTTGTGATTTCACAAAAGACCATTTTCATTCATTTGCTCTGTGATTGTGAATTAATGAGTCTGAGAGGAGGAAACAAACTAACTAATGAACCAAACACTGGTACGTAAGAGGCAAAATTCCAATCAACTTTGAAATGAATGAATACATTTACAAGGAAAATCGACGCATTTTAATAAATAATGGCCTACATTTCCAAAATTAAATACAACAAGCTCACTATAGTGAAAGGTGTAGCAGTAGGGGTGATGTAGACAGCAATAAACTTTCATTTGTCTACTTTGCACTTCCTGGTGAACAAAGATATATCCATACTTCTTTATTTATTGACATTTGTTGTTTTCTTCTGAATAGGACATTTTACTGTAACCTCTCCTCAAAGTCTGGAAGGATGGTTTGTGATAACGTGTTGATTTGGGGACAAAATCAGGTGTATTTATTTACTGATAAATCCAATTGCAATGTAGCCTGTAATTTGATTATGTAATCTTCTCCAGGCATAACAGTACCTTGGCATATTAGAGGGAAACAAATACGAGAAACAGAGCCAAGATTAAAGTAATAAATTTTACTTTTAGTTCTTTAAAACTATGGCAGAGTTATTTGCGCTAATGGGATCCAATTTTAGAGGCGTATACTATAAGATCTCTGTTGACACAAAACATTTAGCATAATTTGGGCCAAGGTAACTTAACCTATGTCCTTAGTTTCTGATTATCTTTCAGTGCAACAAACAGCATGCTCTTTCTCGCTGGAGCATCAGCTTTTTTTTTTAAAACTTAATCCACTTTCCTGTTTACCTCTGTCTCCAGGAAGCGGCGAAGGGCCCTCTTTTTCTTAATGTTCTTCCGTCGCACAGACACTGCTACACTGAGTACCATGATCACCACCATGAAGAGTCCTCCGATTACGCCTGCTGCAATCAGAGGGGTTCTGAAGAAAAGACATTGGAGAAGGAAAGGGAAGAAAATACATAAAGAACAAAGGGCATGCAATGAAATTACAGAAAAGGGTATCAGTATAGAAGATCACACACAAGCACAAACTAAACTAAAAATACATCAAGCAAACATCGGGCTAATACAAGCACAAAGATTAACACACATAACATGTTTCTACAATATATATCCATGTGGCCGATCCCTTAAAAACCTCTTCACCTTCGGGTTTTGTGTATTTTCCCACTAAGCTTCATGTGGTAACAAATATCCCTCCATGCCCTCTCATTAAAATCGGGGCTGAGATCAAAAACATGGAAATAATCTTCAAAGAGAATCCTCAGAACCACGCTGATGCTGTCACTTGAAATGAAGAATCTCAATATTTTTACTGATATGCACCTCAAACTGTCCGAGTTGGCTTTCTGATATACTCGGCCATGGCTGGTTTATTTGATCTATCGGAAGAACCGTTCATAATCAAAATAAGGATGTTATTCGGGGTTGTATATTATGGACTTCAAGGATACACCTCTATAAAATGATATCACATTCAGCCCTGTTCATGGGAAATGAAGAATGCTTTATCTCTCTGTCATCACAGTCTGTGGCTGCACAGGGGAAATCTCTATACATGTGATGGTTAAAAGAAAGGGGGTCTAACCAATGAAGACACGCGGGCACTATTACCTTACTTTAGATAGAGACAGGTGTCAAATTAAAGGGAAAAAAGCAGAAAAGGTGCAACACATTATTGTATAGTTATGCAATTATTATCCTAGCATGCTCCACTGAATTTCTAAAAATGTTGAGCAGGCACAATTGATTCAGATTTTGTAAAAAGATTGCAAGTGACTTTCAAGGAGGGTTTAATGTTTCAGTCCCATAGACTTCATTATTCATAAGTGCTTCAATAGCACAGTGACTAAATTACAGATTGTTACATTTGTATTTAGAGCTATCAAAAAGACACAAGTACATAACTAGGGTCAGAAATTATGGTTGTACCCATTTAGTGACTCTGATGTTTGGGCATTAGTGCAGTATGCAAGAGTCACTCTTCTTATGGTGACTGAAAGTTTCAATACAAGATGTAATAAGACCATAACCACTGCTGTGCACCAAAAGAATGGCACAGCCTGAACATTTCATCGCTGCAATGACCGAGTGTAGTGGCTATGCTGTGATCGGGGCTTTTTCTGGTGTCTATTTATCGTCTTAGCACTATCACTGAATCACAATTAACTTGAGTCAACTTGATGAACTTTATCCTATGATTTGTGACTGGAGCTGTTGTGGTGGCATCACACTATATGTTATCCTAGTCTTAATTTTACCCCAATCTGTGTCTTGGAACCAACAGTGAAGGAGAAAAAAAATACTCTAGATATATAAAAACTGTGGTTCTTTAGATTGTCCACTAAAGACTTTGGATAATTATAAAATGCCCTGGTGACGCCATGGCATCATCACAATTCTTTGGTGAAACAGCTTGATCGTTGCCAACATACACAGGTTTGTTTCTCGGAAAGAAGAGATTGAGGCCATTTTAAAATCCATTTTAAAATTGCTCTGAAGCTACAACCAGGTGATGTTTACCTTATTTTTGAGGCTTACTAATATCTGCAGATGCAACACACTTACTTTATTATTTACATGTGATATGTACATACAAAGATAGCAACACTGGTTTCTTGCTGCCACAATGAAATGATTAGGCAGCTAGTAAATTCAGTGCACCCGGGGGTGAAATGCACCAGCATATAATGCCTGTGAAGCCCTGCACTGCTTCTACAATCTGGGTTTTATATGGATTAAACAAATGAGATATGGTATAACGAGATGATTAGTGAGCTTTAGAGGTGCTGGTAGACTATTTTGGAAAATAACCTAGACTAATTGTTCTCCCCATTTCTCATCTTTATGCTGTTATCTGTCTCTTGGTGTTACCTCCATATTTAATGGGCAGTTATGAAAGTGGTATCGATCTTCTCATCTAACTCTCAGCTAGACAGCAATGGTTTTTTTGTGTTTTTCTCCACAAAATATCAATAAAGTTCTTAAACAGAAAAGTTTAAGAGAGAGTGGTAAATGTAAATATTATGTTTGATTTCATTAATTTACGCACTGCAGTTTCACTATGGATACATTTCAAAGCAGAGGAATGAAGCTAATTTGTGTGAAATGAAAGCCACACGGTTAATTTTGTGCACGTCTTATTGTTATAGAATGAAAAGAAAACTGATGGTGAAAGACACCGTCAGCATGGCACTGGCAGTAGCTACATGAGGGTTTTCTCACAATGACAAATGTCATTTGGCATCGGGATAAACAGCTAATGTGCAATTCATTCTGTACACTCAAATTTGGTGGCTTTTGCACACTCAGCAGAAACTTGATAGCACTGGGTTGAATCTCCTGCCCTCCTGATCTAGATTTGAAACATTTCGACAAAACGATGGAAACACTCCTCACAGATTTGACGTCAGCTATACATTCATGTATGCAAACATCCCAGTTCACTACAAAGGTGCTGTACTGGACTGAGATCTGGTGACTTCAAGGCCCTTTAAGAACTCACTGCTGTGTGTGGAGATGGTGTGAGCTTTGTGGCATGGTCTGCTGCTTTCTGCTTGAAGCAGCTATTGGAAGATGCATGTTCTATGGTCATAAAGGGATGGACATGAAAACAATACTCAGATAGGTTGTGGTGTTTAAATGATGCTCATTTGGCACTAAGGACCCTGAAGTGTGGGCTCCTTATCCCCCATCAAATTACACCACCACCAGCAGCCAGAACTGTTAATAAAAGGCTGGATGGATCCATGTTTTCAGTTTTTTTTGAATATTGCCGCAGAAATCAAAATTCATCAAACCGGGAAAGATTTTTTCCTTCTATTGTATGATTTTATTGAGCCAATGCAACATGTAGTCTCACCTATTTGCTCTTAGCTGACAGGAGTGACACCTGGTCAGGGCTTCTGCTGCTCTAGCCAATGTGCTTCAAGGTTTGACGTGCTGTGCATTTGTAATGGCTCTTCTGCATACCACAGATGTAACAAATGGTTATTTGACTTACTCTTGCCTTTTTGTCAGTTTGAAAAAGTATAGTTATTTTCCTCTAACTTCTGGCATCAACAAGGCATTTCACCCAGAGAACTGCTGCATATTTTTTTTTCTTTTTCTTTTTTTTTCTCCATAAACCCTAGAGATGGCTATGTGGGAAAATCCCAGTAGATCAGCAATTTCTGAAATACTGCCATTAGAAGATTTTGTGTAAAAAAAAAAAAAGAAAAGAAAAAGGCTTTGTGTAATGACATGACACTTTCAGCTATGCTCAAAAATGACACATCTAACAGTTAACAGATTTACTACTTGTGTGACACATCAGAGCAGGCAACTAGACCTGATAGCTGTGGCTACAGCTACATCCTGGCCAGAGCTATCAGAGATCTGATAAAAGCTGATCTCTTCACAAGGTCGGCTGATAGTTACTTTCAGCCATCTGCTGCAGTCCCCATTCATCCTACTGGCAGTTTCCCAAATATTATTTCAGAAGCACACTTGTAGATTTAGTCTTTTGAAGGATATGACTTGTTTTTTTTTTGAGCTACAGTAGAAGCTTCAAGATACTGAGTACTGATTGGTCAGTATCAGGCGGAATATACAGTAAATGCCTTTACAGTGATTATCTCTATGTGAATGTACGCTGTGCTGCAAGACGGTAAAAGCTTCTTTCGTTTCACTTTTTTTGACACCCACTTTGATAGTCATCTCATTACATTTACCTTTTACCTGAAATTCGTATATAGTATTCTTTTTGATGTGCTGGAAATCTCCATTGCAAAATAGTGAACTGCAGGCTGTTCCTCTTGCCTACCAGCCTCTTTTTTAATCATCCCTCAAAACGCCACGCAACAATTTTTAGCACCACTTGATTCCAAACTGCTTCACTTATGAAGTCTTGAATCTATTTGCTGCAAACTATGAGCAGCATTTTCTTGCCTTTTCTCCCCCCAGCTTCAGAACAAATGCTAAAGCACAATCAATTTATCAACAAACAGGCACACACACACATGTGCGCACACACAGACACGCACACATAACCGTGCACAGAGAAGCATTAAGGACCTCACAGGGATTTGGGGCCTTAGAGCTATCCATTAATCAGAGACTTTGCTTACTGTACGGTTCTTCTATGTGTGTGCGTGTGTGTACTTCTGTTTAAGTGCGTTTGTACGTAAGCACATAATAGAGGGATCCAAGAAAAGGAATTTTGTACCTGTCCATCCAGCCGATGCAGTCTTGAAGTCTCGGTCCAATGCACCTTAGTAAATAAATACAGGACAAATGCTGTATTTTATCCTATTCAAACATTAATATCGCATATATAAAAATGTTACCATAACACACAGGCAGCCAAAATTAGCCAGAAAGTGTTGACCGTCAGAGATGTTTTTGCTTGCTCATTGTAGAGCAGATGTCAACACAACAACGATACCTTTTATATGATTAATGCGTTTTGCCTTAAGTGTGGCACAAATGTGAATAAAAGCCTTGTTGGCTACCATTTTTAGCCTTGGTTTAGAACTCACTAAGAGTTTACTTTTAGAGTGACAGATTACAAAGTTATACTGACTTCTAATGAAAACTAACCAAATCTGTTGGACGTTTCACCAGTCGCCTTGTGTTAATCTTTCAGTGGCATCACACGTCACATATACTGTCTCTGAAATTTAGTAGCTCTTTTGAATGTTTGGAAGCCTCCAGCTCTGTCTCTTTCCCACTCAGAATATATATCCCTCCCCCTCGATCAGCTTGTTGGGTTTTTTGCTGCTCTGAGAGGCGGCCCTGCTTATGAAGCTGTACCTGTGACAGTGTCAGCCTGGTGTTTTCCATTTACGACAACATTGTTATGCTTAAGTGAGCTGGATGCTGTCACTCACAAGAGGAGAAATAACACACAGGGAAGTGACATAAACTCCCGGTGGAATTAAATACAAAATGATGTCTTTCCAAACCTTGTTGAATATTACATTGAGCGATCAGTGGCTAGTGAGCAGTGGAGAGTGGCAGGGTATTAACTACCCTTACTTTCATTCTTTTTTCTCTTCAGGTTCATTTTCTGCTTCACTTCTCTATTTATCTCACATGTCTTGCAAGACGTTCGGACTATAATTTTATGATTGCAGACTATGGCTGGCGAGAGCTTTGCGAGCACGTGCTTTTCAACCGCTAAATATATGAAGGTCAAATTTCGCTTGCAATATGAGCATGAGAAAACATAGCATGAATATTCTGTTAGTAACTAGTCACTTTGGTAAAATAAATAAAACAGTGATGTAGCAACTGCTTGCGGGGCAAATGGTGTGCAAATCCACTTCTTGTGACGACGTTACATCTCGAACTTGTCCTTTTCCTGTCTGCACTTACCCTTGGGTGCAGTTAGCATGGCAGGGGTGGCATTCGTTGTTGGCTTCAGCGTACTTGAAGATGAAGCTGTTGGCACCTTGCAGGCCATCGGGACACTTTTCCACACAGTTTGGACCGTCTTTGAAATGAAGGCATTTCACACAATGCTCTGGGCCCTTCGTAAAAAGAAAAAAAAAAAGGATTTTTATTGATTTATTTTTTGTTTGTTTAATTGTGAAAACCTTATTTTCCTACATGAAAACTTACCATATATGTACCATAACTTGTTGTAAACTGATTTTGTCACATGTGCTAGATTTGTAAAATGAGAGTATGATTAGTTTTATCGCTGGTAAGTCTGACTCCCTCTTGACAGCTTTTTATCACTTGGTAAGGTGTCAGTTTCAGTGTCAGCATCCTTTGCTGGAAGTATAGACTGTTGATTTTTCTGATATCATTAAACAAATAGGAAGGACAAATCTGTCAGGTTGAACAAACTGTGGGTTATTGTTAGTTACTTATGATTTTTCTTTTAAATCTGTGAAGCAGTGGAAGCTTAAGAGTGAAAACGCGATAACAAGCGGCAAAAGACAGAAGGTGGAACTGGTGGAGTGGAGGAGAGATGAGAAAAAAAAAAAAAGGAAGTGCTGTGGAGTAATAAGCGGAGGAGAGAGACTGGACATGGACATTCAGATTTACAGAGAGAGTAAGGGTGAACAAGATATAGTGAGAGAGAGAGAGAGAGAACTGGGAGCAGAGGAAGAAAGCATACGAGCATCATAAAGCTGTGTGAGCAGAGCAGGCAGATAATAACCATCGCTCACAGCACACACAATGACCATAACAATCCGCCTAGAACAGGATTTATGGAGCTAATATAGGCGAAGGAGGGGGTAGGAAGGGAGAGGAAGAGAGGTGAAAGAATCTCACAGACGGGCCTCGAAACATCAGCAGGCCTAAAGAACATCGTACTTACAGACTATATACATACATAAGTACAAATGGTTGGAAAGCGAACAAACCGCCATAGCTTTGAGTCACATAAGCAACACTGATTTCTTACTTGTATATACACAATAAATAACAAAAAATGACCCACAGACACATAATTCTATGTGCCAACTTCAACAATAAAATCCATCCCAACTGAACTGCTTAAGGACTCTTTGCAACACAAATTAAAGTTAGTCATGAAGTTACACAGGTTGAAACTTTGCTCCACAGAAAACAATGCATTTCCAATGCATTGCTATACAGATGACATCAAGTATATTTATGACACTGACAGGGCACGCTAACATTTCTCTCATTTAAACTGATCTCCACTGGATCCTTTAAAATCTTCCCTTTCCCTGGCCTCAAAGTCCAGGCTCCATCATATCTTAATGACCTCATAGTGCAACACCCAAAAAGAGCACTTCACTCACAGAATGAAGGCTTAGTTGTAGTTCCAAGAGTTACCAAAAAGTACATCTAGAGGCAGAACATTCAGCTACAGCGTGCATGAAGGCAGACTCTCACCATTTTTTGGATTAAGCTCGAAACTTTCCTTATTGAGGAAGTTTTAAGTTAGGGTTCTTGCCTTTGAACCATCCTTTAGTTATGCTGCTGTAAGCTACAGGCTGCTAGAGGACCTCCAATGATTACCTGAGCACCTGCCATCTACTCTTGTCTCTATAACTGCCCATGCATTTGTACGCTACTATTGCATGTCATTAACTTGGTGGCTTTTCCCTTTTGTAGTGTGTGTTCTTTTTTCCCTTCGTCTTCATTTTCTTCCAAAGTTAATTTCCTGAGCTTCATATTCCTGACCTGTTGTTTCAGGCTCCACTAATCCGCCAAATGTTTATTATTATATTGTTTGTTCTTAATTGTTTCTCTATGCTCTTCTTTTCTCTATTGCTTTTCCCTCAACCTAGCAGTTAGAGGCAGATGGCTACCCTTCTTCAGTCTGAATGTGTTAGAGGTTTCCTCTTCTTAAAAGTTTTTTTTTCTTTTTTGCTCCCACTGTCACAAAAAGAAATCGCTGGCTTTCACAGTATAATATTGTGAGATGTTTATCTTACAATGTCTGGCATAAAACTACACTGAACTGAATATTGTGCACGACAAATGCAGCTGAGAAAGAAAGACACATAAAAATCTATTTTCTTAGGAAAAGCCATATCTTTCCTTCTGTCTCTATGTGTATTGTTGCTTTGTCAGTCAAATCAAAACAAGAAGTAGTGTTTTGCATAGACTTTATATGGATGCCTATGTACTAATGCCTCTGCATGTGCTCTTTATAGCTTCTGTGTGTGCGAAAATGTTCTCACCGTGAGTATAATTATGCAAAGTGAAAGTCTTGCTGCTCTCGCTGGCTTTAGCGTTGAGCTTGGCACTTTGATTTTCTGAGTGTCTTCCCACCCGTGGATATTTGTATGTATGTGTGTATGCACTTGTGGCATCACATCAACAAGCTAAATTATGTGACAGAGCAAGCAAATGGTGTTTGGTCCAACGGGGTATTGGGGCAACTAAAGCTCCAACCTAAGCATCCTGCTGTAAATATAAATTAGTCTGCCAGCACAAAAGAACGTGTGTAATACTCTTACAGTATAAGTGTATGCCTATTTTTTCCATCACTAGACACATGAACTTCAGGAGACACTTAAAAAAAAAATCGATATTATGTACTATAACTATGCACATGTATATTTACTTGCTGTATGCTCAATCATTCAGGTAAGTAAATGCCAGAAAGTTGATTCTGTTCATCGTGACATAGTTTTCAGTGGGAGAAACGCTTCATCACTCATCCAAATGTCATGACCACTGATCAATGGCCATGAGCACTATTCACACAGAGTTGAGAAATGACTGCAACCAAAGCACCATGAGATGGTGAAAGAATCCCCTTTGACAATTTATATATTAATAATCATGAAACTGAACTCACGGCCCATTTTTAGTCAGTGGTGCTAGTTTTAGTCATCATGCAAATGTACTGTTTATAAGACTGAGGAAACTTGCAGTCAGTTGACAGTAAGGAAGTCACTTGAATGAGTGGCGTAACATTCCTTCCACTCACACTATTGTGTGTTAAGTTTATACTATGGTCAGTGTTGGGGAGTAACGGAATACATGTACCGCCGTTACGTATTTAAAATACAAAATATGAGTAACTGTATTCCGTTACAGTTACCGTTTAAAAAGGTGGTATTTAGAATACAGTTACTTTGTTGAAATAAATGGATTACACGGCGGTACTTCCCTGTTTCATATTGTCACAGGTCAGGACTGTTTGGGTTTTGTTTGACAGCTACGTTCTGTTGTTTCAGGTGGAAGCGTTATGGTTGCCATGGTTATAGGGTGACGCTCTCTCTCTCTCTGCGTGTTTCCTGGGTGAGAGAGCGCCTTTTTGTTGTTGTTGTTGTTGTGCTAAGCTAATAGGCAGAATGCTACAGGTATAGCTCTAAAGAATGTAGCCTCATGGGCAGTGTAGTCCGTGCTGCAGGGAGAATGGACTGCCATACCCGTTATGTGTCTGTGAGCGAGGGAGGGAGAAAAGGGAAAAGTACGAGCTGTCATCGAGCAGAAACAGGAGCTGGAAGCATGTAAATATAATAATAACCACTGCAGCCAAGAAGAATGCCTGACGAGCCCAGTTGTAAGTAAGCTATTAAGACTCGACTGTACACTGTGTTCGTGTTTTCCTCCGAAACAATAAGTTCCATTGGAGCAGTCTTTCAACACCTCTCTCTGTCTCTGGCTAACAAAGTTGACCCACACAACAAAGTAAAGCTATTTTTCGGCTACGAGCCCAACATGGAACCCACCATATTAGTCAGAGGTCCCTTTACTACGGTTCGGAGCCGTGGACCGTCAGTAACAGTAATAAATCACAGCAATAGTACATTCACGTAGTTGTAAACAGCATATATTAAATAATCCAAAGTATTCAGAATACGTTACTCTCATCGAGTAACGTAACGGAATACGTTACAGAATACATTTTGGGGCATGTATTCTGTAATCTGTAATGGAATACATTTTAAAAGTAACCTTCCCAACACTGACTATGGTCATAGATGGCTACTGCATAGTGTCAGAGAGAGGATGGGTATTTCAGACATTCAAGAATAAGAGTTAAGTTCAAAGTGCTGCAGAGAGTCATTTATAAGTTGATAATAGGATAATAAGTCCATCCATCCTTTTAACCACTTATCCAATTTAGGGTCATGGGGGCGCTGTAGCCTAAACCAGCTTTCACAGGGCAAGAGGCTCTGAAAGCTTCTAACTGGTCCGCTTCACTCCATCACTCTTCTCAGCGTATGACAAAGCTTTCCTAAACTGGCTGGGAGACATAATGTCTCCAGTGTTTCCTGGGTCTGCCTGAAATCTCCTTACAGTTGTATCTGATGTAAATACCTGGTATAGGAATTATTCAGAAGGTGCCCTAGTGAAATGGGCAACACCTCAGCTTGCTTCTTTAGATGTTGAAGAGTAGCTGCTGCACTTTCAGCTCCCCTCAAATGGTTGAGCTCTGTGTTTTGTATCTAACGTAGAACCCAGATACCGTTTGGAAGTTCATATCTGCTGCTTGTTTCTGTAATTTTTGCTAACCAGCATCTGTTGCTAAAGTTGTGTACTGTATAGAAATGCAGAGTAAATCAACAGTCCACATCACTGCAGATGCTGCACCAATCCATCAGTAACATGGCCCTGAAAAACTTAAACTCCTCCATCTGAGGCAGCAAATAATTCCTAACCTGGAGTGGGAAGACCAGCGTTTTCCATCTTTATAATATATACAGTGAAGTTTGGATGCTGCTCACAGTTTATACTGTGTGCTTCTTCATCTGTTTGGCAGATTTGGAATTTACAAACACTAAACTTGTCCTCCTTTTTAAACTTACACTTACAAGAAATATGATGGGCTGTATTGGGCTTAAAAAGATCAGTTATGACAGGAAAAAAAACACTCTTGGATTTTCAGGTTATAAAATTATATTATTGGTTTATTTTCAGATCTATTTTCGAATGTGTATTTTAGCTTTGTGAGATTTTCAGTCTGACATCAACATGACTTTGGCTTAACTGCCTGTTGTAAAAATGAATGAATGTTCCACTCTTTGAATGATTTGAGCGTGTTTGTATATCTAATAAAAATCGTAAACACACTAGATCTACCATCAGCTCTTATTTGGTCCACGGAATAGCCTATAATTATGAATATTATGAGAAATTCAGTCTTTATACTTTAGACTGCATTAACTCCATTAGATCGCTCTCTGTAAACTGTAAGCAATTACTCTCTGTAGTTATAACATGATTGCTGTAATCCATTTGGATTCCCATGCTGCACATATGAGATCGACACACGCTCCAACAGGTTGAAGGATTATTCCAATCTTAGATCATTTCAGACGACCTTTATTTCGGACAATAAGAATGTGGCTCCTGCAGCTACTCATTTCACATCTGCTCTATTCAAGGAGTTCATGCATAATTGTTTTGAATGCAATATTTGTTCTCAAAAGTTGGACTGGAAAGGTCTTTGGGTGATTTTATTGTACTGAAACTGGGCTGGGGACTTTTGAGGCATGAAGTGGATAACCAAGAGAATGAAAACAACAAATCTACTTCAGCAACAGCATTTGAGCCAACAATAATTTATGTGTTCCTTTTTTTCCCCCTTCCAAACTATGTGAACCGGCTGGCTATCATCTAATGATTAAGGGCCAAATTTACTAAGTGGGGCAAATTAGTTTGAGGCCACAACTGCAAAAAAATATGTGGATAGTAGCAGAAAGTTACTAACAATGCCCTAATTTATAAACACAGATACATCCAATTAATTTCAATAGTGACCCGCATTCTACAGAGAGCAGCGCAAATTAGCGAGTCAACAACAAGCAGACCTGATGAGGGTAAGACTAATATACTAATCAAAATGATACACTGTAAGAGGGGCTGACAGGACAACACACAACATCCTGATTCGTCTCCAGGTTAATGAAGTTACTGTAACTATGCAACGCATGTAAACGTGTGCATTGCCAATAATTTTCTATGTTCCATGTGAAGCTAATTTCTATATCACACTTAAAATATATTGTAAAGAAATAAACCAAAATTCTGAACATCACCTGCTCTTAACCAGGTTACGTGTTCAGCATAAGTTACCGTAGTGATTTAGCCAGGTCTTGAATGGAGTCAAGTTTAGATTTCATACATGATCGGTCAATACTACGCTGGCTTCCAGTGCCAAAAACGTCTTCAAAAGGATTCAGCAAACAAATCTGTTTATTTCTGTTGTGTCTTATACACTTAATCACAAACAATATTGTTGTTTTTGTTGTGCGTGTCTGAGTTGGGATGGCAAGACGGGGGGTTGGAGGGGTTCCACACTTCTAAACTATAGTGATCAAGACTGTCAGACAGGGTGTGATGGGATACAAAAGACAGCACAAGGACCCGTTGGCTTACATCTGTCCCGAATCATCCATTTCTCTGAAACAGCAAGATAAGATTTTAAGAGAAAGAGCAGGGTCAGGGGACTGATGTGGCTGTGGGTGTTGTATTCGCAAGAGACAGAGAAATGAAGGTCAGGAATTTCACTCTCCCTTTTTTTAAATATTTTATTTGCAGCTGCTACCAAAAGAATCTTCCAATAATTTGATGTTTTCTTTTTTTTAAATAGTGCACAGTTACAGTTTGTTGGGAATACAAATACACTTCCTTATTCTGACCTTTTTATTTATTTGTTTAGTTATTATTTTATTACAACAACTACAACCTCCAATGTTTTTTTATGTTATCATGGTATCTGTCATGTTTTGGTTTGATTATACATCGTAGTAAAGTTCATTTTTCAAAAATACAATATTGTTACTGTCTTACTACTTATGATGCACAATATTCTCGTGCTCCTCAGAAGCATATTTGAATTGTTTAAACAGCCCTGTTCACTTTCTATATTAAGAATACATGTATGAACATAATGATTTGATCTGCCTTAAAATTGTTGTATGTAATAGAAAACTTACCGGCCCAAGACAGGTCAAAGAGTCACCGTCAGCTCTTTCACACTGGGCATCACACTCTACGCACACTGACCCATTGGCATATTCTCGAATATCCCTGACAGAAATGGAGAAAAGTGAGAGAAAGAGTCAGTCTGATGGATGACAAGAGAAAGACAAACATTAATTTGAAACAAGTTGGGGCC